AATCTTTATTATCGAGAACTACTTTTTTTTTTTCTGCAGCACTGAAACTGTTTTAAAAGATATCAAGGAAAGAAAAGAAATGAGGATGAAAGAAAGGAAGAAACTCTTAGAGCTTCAAGTTGTAGAAATTCCATTAGTGTTTGTTAATATTTGAGTCCTGACCATTTAAAACTGTCTTTTAACTATATGTTTTATAGAATACTAATACTTACTTTTGTTATATAGAAATTAAACAATAAAATACCTTTTTGATATTATATAGGTAGAGGATTGTAACAAAGGGTATAATATTTTAATATTATTTACAAATTTCCCCTATTTTTAAACTCAAAGCATGTAGGTAGGTTGGGAAGATAGACATGTTTTATGTGGATTTCTTTTGGGATATTTTTCATTAATAATTTCTAATGGCAAGTTTGTTATAATGTTGACATTTTCAGCATTTCATAGAAATATACTGAAAAACATTTTATACATGCTGTGTGTGCAGAGCAATTGATTAAATATTTGAAATCATAGAGGAAAATGTATTGCTGAGGTCACAAGATCCTAAAGGGCACATTTGTGTGTATTTCTTTCAGCTCTCACTTTTTACAGGTATATCAGGCAGACAAGAGTTCAAGTAAACAGTCTCTAGGTGTGGATTTATGCCAATATGGTTCTACTCTGAATGTTAGCGAAAACTAAATTTGCTTATTTTCCAAAGGTTAGCCAGCCACAGTTGTGGCCCTGAGAATGTGAGACTAAACAGGAGCCGCGCTTTTTAACTTTGGTGCACAGTGCACGTACTTCTTTGTGCTTTTTACTGCACACACATTTCAATGACTCTTAAACACATCTGAAATTGACATTCTCTACAGTAGAAAGAATAGCCTAAAATAAGACTTGTTTCCTTAATAAGTTTTTTCTTCGATAAAGCAATTAGTTAGAAATCTTTCAGTCTGGGTCCCTTAGATGGACTCTCTGCCCTCCAAACAGCAGATTTGGATTTCATTGTCTTTGCAAAATTTGGGGCCTGAAATTCTGGGTAATTGCCTCCCCTCACTGGATCTTTTTTACCTGTGTAGACACAGACAGCTCTTTCTTTTAAAGACTGTCACAAATGAAACCCAAATCCAAATAATTGCATTGTTTCTTTTCGAAAAGAGGGAAAGCAGACAGAAGAGAATCAAAGTGTAGTACATATTAAGGCAGATCATTAGGGAAAAGAAACAGGATATAAAAACCTGATGTGTCTGTGGCAAGATCCTGGCCACCTAACTTATTAACGCAGCGTCCATTGTGAGATGCCGCAGTTCCATGCAGTCAGAAGATGGCTCCAGCGCGTTAATTTTGCTCCTGTTTCTAGCATGCGATTTAAGGGGCAAGATGCACTTCAGTGCTATTTTTCCTTTCCGATTTTGCCGTCGTCTCATTTGGTTCAAAACATCAAACTGAAGCATATATGGAGTTGTAAAGGGTCCTTTAATATAGATGGTAAGATTTAAAAAGAATTTACCTGCTCCTTCTTCTGAATAGGCCATTCTTGAATATTTTGCATGCTTTGGCACAGAGAAAAGGGGCCACAATTGTACGTCATTGCTGAAAATACTACCTATAGAAGGCAGTACTTCCCAGTGAGACTGTGTAACTGGCAAAGCAGTGTTCGCTAAAACTATACTCTCATCTTAGAAATACTGTTTTCTTTATGAACTAGGGTTTGTGAAAATAATAGTGTGCAACCAAAGACTTAATGTTATCAGGTGGGATAATATGGTCCACAATCATCTAACCTGTCTAAATTCACTGTCTTTCAGAGATATCTGAGCAATTCTCTTTACCTCTTCTCATGTCTGCAAACTCCAAATTCAGTTTGTAAATAAATACTGATTGATAGAAACACAAAATGGGCATTTAATCCAATTAAGAAGTCACAGCTTGAAATACTTTATTAACAAAAGAATGATACATAAAATTTATTACTTAACTAGTGACTTTAGAGGTCATTTCTCTGCCAGCCAAGTGCATAAAAAATTATAGGAAATTGTGTGATTAGCAGTGAAAGTGACATGATATAGTATGAGCCGCATTAGGTTTAACATTTAAATGCATTTAATGATAGACAGTAGTTGAATATACTTTGTCCAAAATGCATGATTTCTCAAAATAATATTTAAAATGCATACTTGTTTCGTGTCATAGAAATTATTTTATCTAACGTGTTTTGTATCTTTATTACCAAATTGATCTAAATCAAATAATTTTACTTTTACTTCGTGTTTTAAAGTATTTTGGGGGCTAAGTGGTGTTTCATTTTATTTTTAAAAATATAGCTATGATCATTACCTCAGCATAGCTCTGGCGATACAGACATTTTCAATGAAAGCCAGGCAAAATAAACTATGTTTATCAGTGACATTTTAGAAATGTGTTTCAAAACAACCCTTTACCTACCTTTCTTTTAAATAATAAAGATTTAAAACCACTACCAGTCACTATACTACAGTAAATATTTTTTACTTTGATTTTTTGGGGAGGAAAAAACAACAGCAATTTATTAGTAGAAACATATTTGATTTTCTTCAATTTATTCAAATAGGACTGTTAAACATTGTGTCCAACTTACACTTAGCCAGATTTACACACACTCACACACACACACTCACAAATGTGAAGCTCTCTTTTCCCCCGTACATGGTCTGGATGAAATTGTTTGAAAAATGTCAATAATGAAGCCAGAGCCTCAGTGTAACCTAAATACGAACTTGTTGCTTTTGGAAAGGTGGAAAATTAGCACCATTTTGTAGGACAGAGGAGTTAAATGAAGGAGGGTGATTCTTTTATTTCTGTTCTATAGAATGATGTACGCTAATCAGCAGGCAGTGCCCTGTCAGTGAGCTAATTCAACTCTCTGCTAAAAGAAGTGTAGATTAATGGATAAAGGAGGTCTGTGGTAGGGTCACACTGATATGGATTCAACGTGTACAGCAGCTTGTCAGATGCCTGCTTGGATTAAATCTAACCTTTATTGTTGAAGGTTGCCATTTACCCTATTCTTTAGTGCCTCAATTTATTTTCTTCCCAGAATTTCCACATAAAAAAATTATCATCTATTTGCTTTTGAGAACAAATTTAGAGAGCTGGTTTCATTATCTGTAAGAAAGCTGGAGGCACTAAATACTGAAAAACACAGAGAATATTTAAGGGACATATTAACTGATTTATTCCAATTCTCTATGAGAATGAGACTTAATTTTACAAAGAAAAGGCCAAGATAGTT